GTTGCATGTTTTCCACGGACAGTTTTATATGTTGTTAAGCTGAGCTACACATTAACAAAAAAAACCCCAACATTATTGAAAGGAGATGTACAACAGCATAAAGCAGCCGAACGGAACAATTTTGGTTAAAATAATGGTAGAGTAACTAATAGTCTTACCAAAGATGCTTCAGTTAAAACTGGTGAGAAGCTTTTATTTCCAAATGATAACTTTTTCGCAACCATCTCAGGAGACTGATTTAGATATGTATTTTGAATATTCTTTTTTTGTGGACAGAAATTATTGGGAGAGATTCCTTTCTCAAAGTTAAACATTTCCCTTTTTTCTACTGTTGACTCCTGAACATCAGGTGATCTTTCAATATCAGTATGCTCTTGAGTAACATCTCCTTCTGATACTCTTTCAGCACCTAGAAAACAGTTACTTAACTGTCAGTATGAGAAATGAAAGGAAAAAAAGGTAAGTTAAAGCCCCATATTGCTAACTGTTCCAACTCTGGGTATTTGCAAGTCTCGGATGTGTGGAATTTTACTCTAAGTGTTGGCATACGACTTGCCACACTTGCACTTTTTGCACTCTCCACATTATTTTACCAGTTACCAGATTCATTCTAACACTATGTGTTGCACTTCTATATTATGCTGATGTCAAATAACTGTACCAACCTATAAAAGTGTTTGTGACATGTTAATAACTTCCTTAAATTATGTGGTACACACTGAATTAGGGGATATCTCTTATTTTAAAAGCACAAAATAAATCTAAAATTGTACTACTGTGATAATCCTCATTTAACCTCCAACTTTTGATACAGGGTTGCTATAAATTAAAAGTTAAAATACCTACATCTCATTGTCTCAAGAGATGCAGGACTCTCAGACGAAGGCATTTCAATTTCCTTTTGTTCTGTAGAATTCTTTGATTTAATAAAAGCTTTATGTGCATAGGTAGCTACACTCTTTGGTTCCACAGACACAATATTCTGGAGTTCCTTTTGCTGATTTTCATTCTTGTTTTCCCCATTCATATGTTTCTATTAAAATACAAAGTTTATATAAGCACCATCTGTAAACCATATAGAAGTGGATATATGTGCAGGTAAAGAGCATATTATCTATACGTACCACTGAACAAGTAGAAGGTCCAAAAGGGAACATCATTAGAAATACTAAAATTCATAAAAATATCAGGTGTTCTAATATCTACAAGCATTGAATTTGTTTAATTCAGCACCCAAATTCCTACTTTTCTGAACTCCTTAAATATTTGAGGCAATGACTGATTCTTCAGGATTTAACCAGTGACTAATTACAGACCTATCCACACACGTTGAAAAAAAAAATGTTTTCGCATCCAACATCATTGCTTAATTTACTAAAAATCCTATTTGGATATTCAGCAAACGCATTGACATACCCTCTATCAAGTCAGCATTTTCTATTTTACTCAGAATAGCCACAGCACTATCAAAATCACATTATCTAAAAGAACAAAATTCAGCTCACTAAAACCTTCCATTTAATAGATGTTTTCAAACTATCATGATGTTTTTAAAATACAGGACACTGTAGTTCTTTGCAGCAGAATAAATTTCATAAATACAAACTGAAATACTATTATGACTGAGAAGATTATTTAGGACTGGTTTTCTTAGCAGCTAAATACTCATAATTAAAAAGAGGCACTAGTAGAAATAATGAAGAAAATTCAGTTCAACTTGCACATGTTGGGCACTTAAAATTCAGGAGTACCAAGTACAAAGTAGACCAAAGTTTATTTTGAAAAATATGACAGAAGTGGATTTCTAAGAACAAAGTGCAACTGTCTACCTGGTTTTTTGACTTCTCCTTAGGGGTGCGTGCTGAAAACTTCTTTTCACTCTCTGACTCTGAACTGGAAGGCTCTTTGTAATTTTTTGCAAATGCTGCTCTTCGAGGGCGTTTTTGCCTGGTGGGTTGTTCTATTGTTTCATCAGTTCTTGAATTCTGTTTTGCACATTTGTTTACCTTTGGAAGAACAAAAACATCTTCAGTTTATATCAGAATGTTTAATCAATAAATATATAAGAATAAGTGGCAGGTAACTTGGTTTAACTAATTGAAAACCATCATTTCAAAACAACTGAAAAAGTTTAACGTTACCAAAGCTCAGAGTCCAACCATCAGTCTGCTAAGCATTTTGGGAAGATAATTTTCACTGTAGATAGGGTAGAGCACAGTCAAGAATGTAAGAGTCAAAGAAGTGAAGGGGCAAAATAAATGCCATTTTTGAACTATAGCAAAGCTGAAACGGGTTTCCAAAGCTTGCTCTCCGAAACATGTGCACATTTGAATTAGACCGTAACTGGTGTGAAACAGAACAAAACCAAAAGCCTGCACAGTGAGCAGGAACCAGTATCCTTGCTCATCACCTCTGAAACGGTTACCTTCATCACTCGACTGGAAACAGTCTTCCTTTTTATCTGACCCCCCTCTACACCATAACTACTGTCACTCTCTCTACACAGCAGTCAATGTGCAGAAATAGAGCAAAGCACGTTCTCAATGGAAGAACTCCAGTGACCTGCCACTAGAAGGGATGTAAAACGTAAGCGCAACACCTCTCAGACTAGGAGAGATAAGAATTCTCTCCCACTACTCTCTTGAAAAGTCCTCCATGCAACACATACGCTTTCCCAGCCTCCTCATCTCCAGTCTACAGTGAATTCCTGGGCTTCAGATGCTCTCCACCTAAGTCTACGCAGTAGTGGAACCCTACCTCCTCAAAGTGGGCACTTGGAACTTGCTTGGGTACATCTGGGGAATTTCTCTACTAAATAAAGGACACATTTTAGTAAGCAGACTAATTCATCATCAGGCAATTGAAACTCTCCTCAGTTTTGAAGCCCCGTTCAGAACTGAAGCCCTGTTCAGTTGTGATTTGAATGGACGAGACATCACCATCAATACCTCCATGAGGTGATCGTATTTTCATATGCATGATTTACATTGACTGCACGTATGTAGCTTTAAGCTACTAACATTAAATAGATTTGAATAATTCTTATCCAGTTTCAGAGACCAAAGAGTAGTCTGGAGGGGACAGAGGAAGGTTTTGGGGTTTTTGGTGGCTTACAAACATCTACAAGTACCTTCTGGCTATTAAGCAGTAGACATAAACAATAATTTTAAGTAATAAAACTTACAAAAGCATCAATGTATAACAATAATTCTAACTGATAGCTAGTATTACACCTGAAATACCAGCTACATACTATATAAAAAGAATATAGTACCTGGATAGAACTCACTGTATTTAGCAAACAATCTTGAAACAAGCATGGAGAAATTGCACGTATTTATGAAAAACTATTTAAAACCAGTTTCTGTAGTGAGTTAAGACATTTTGACTATGTATTACAAATCTAGGTGCAAATTGACATTTACCTTTTTCTTACTTGCATTTTTGCCTTTAGGTTTATCCATGTGGCAAGCAGGTTCAGAGAATTTATCTGCTGTTACAATACACAGAGTTAGAAAAATCAGCAAAATATTAAAATGTTTGACATTTAGAGTTTTAGCTATAAAATCATGGAATTACTTTTATGCCCACAAACTTACTGATTCAGTATACTGCTTTCAGCGCATTATTTTAAAAAGCTAAAGGGTTTTTTTGTTAACAACAACCTCTGCCTGTTCCATCCTTCAATAATTTTCCACATTAAAACACAGACTTTTTTGAAATTAACCTTAATAAATTATTAAAACTAATCTGAAAATTCCTTATGCTGAGAAATAAGACAACAAAAATATATTGTATCTGCAACACAGCACATTACATGCTGTGCAGTACATTATCTATGGACAAACTTGTTGCAGAATTCTTAAGAAATATGAAAAAAGTTTCTTACTTTTGCCTGTGCCTGTTTGTTTCCCTAGGCTTTTATTTCTACTGTAATCAATTAACCGGGCTTTGGATTTTCTATTTGATTCTTGTAGCCAACTAACTTCTGTCTTGCTGTCATCACCTCTGTATTCTGTGTCTGTGTCACTAAAGAGATGTTTCTTGTTTTGATTGTTTCTAGTCTACAAAAACCAAAAAAGTTCTTAAGTTATTGATTTACTTTTAATATACCTTTCACTTACATAATTGGTATTTAAAAGCAGGAAGACAAGGTATACTGACACACAAAAATCTGAGCCTTACTTTTTTTCTTCCTTTTACTTCAGTACTAGTTTTACTGTTACCTGCGTTCCTTAATGAGAAAAAGAAAAAACAGCTTGAAACAATACATTTAAAAATACTTGTTCTAAATCTTTCTACTATTCATGCGAATTGTGGATTGAAGTTTAAAACAAGTGTACCTACTTTTGTTTTCACAGTCATTTTGGAAACATCTGTTCACCTTAAACCCCAAAGGATGTGCTTATTTGCTAATGATCAGTAAGAACATACAGTATTAAAATGTCCCTTTGCGGGCTGATCACTAACAAAAAACAACTCCCTCTATTCAGGAGTTTATATCCCCACAGTGTTCCCCAAACGGAACTAAAGCTGTTTTCTTCATGAAACACTTTCTTTCCTTTTTATCAGCTTCACAAAGAAAAATCATGAAACAGCCTAAGAGACCACAGCAGTTATGTTTATTGCTTGAAAAAACAACACAGTCAAGATACTATTGTCATGCATACATTCCCTGGATTTTCACAACGGAATGCTGGAGAATGCAGACAGTACTATTCTTCATGATAATCAGCAGGCTATGGCACAACACAGCATCCCTACCGTTTTTTGTTCGGATCTGTATGAACACTCTTTTCAGTGACATGCGATTCTTGGATCTAAAAATGTAAATAAATAAGAAACAAAGGTTTTCATTTGTTATAAAATTTAAAGAAAATTAAACAGGCCTCAGACAGTAACAGCTAAGGGCTTTTTTCCTCAGTTTTTACACTCAGCAATCAGCTTAGAAATTATCTAAGAACAGAGCTGATAGTTAAAACCAGCTGGAACTAACTGAAGCTTTCAACATCTCAAACTCATACATTAGTTTTTATGCAATTGCTTCACTACCTTCGCCAATTCAGCAGGCTCCTTTAAGCCATAAAAACCAAAACCATCATTTTCTGTCAGATTTTCTTTTTACTCAAACATCTGGGCAAAGATGTCTTTACAATGGGGATTGGAAGGATGGCAAGGACACTTTCAGGACAATAGGATAATTTAAAAATAACGACACTCCTAACAAACGGATTCATTCTTAAATCAGGAAAACATTGTCATAGCTTTAAGTGGCCAGAACCTTAGGATAGCATATATCATTATACATTTGAATGGAGATATTTCCATGGCAAACTTTTTCCCTCTACTTAGTTCAGTGATATAATTTGAATTTTTACATGTTAACTATGCTTTCAGTAGACATAATTTGACTGAGCTCCTTTATAATCTACTCAGATCAGTTTCAGTTATATTCTTACTCCAAGCTTTATCGTAGGCTCATCAAACCCACTGATGTTAAAGTTGTAGACATCATCCCTGTCAAGCAGACACAGAGATCAATTTTGTGAATGGATTAATAAACATTTCACAAAGTTAGGTATGGGTAATTAGAAATTTGGTTTGAAAATGTTTTAACTACTTACATAATATGACCAGTAGTCATATTAAGAAAAGCACTGGTTTTCAGGTTTCTACCCTGAACTTCTTCCTATACACAAATAAAAAGTTAACTCATACATCAAATTTGGACTATGCATTCATACACAGTCATCTCAAAAGGCAAGTTCTTCATCAAGAACATATGAAAAAACCTAGCAGCCCCTCAGACTTCCACTTGATTAGCAACAGTACAATATGGACAAGGGGACAAGAGCCAGTAGAAACTAAATCTTTTAAACTTTATCCTTCAAGGATATCAACAGAACTTCAGAATTTTTTCCCTCTAAACATTCAAGCTAATTTCTGTGTCCTGGCTATATCCCATTTAAGGATTCTACTCTCTCATTTACTATAATATTTTTATTCTACTTAGCATTGCCATGTTCCATAGGAACAGATTCAATTACATAATCTGTGAACAGGAATTAATTTGTGTTTCACTGGCTGATAGTTGCCTGTAAAAATATTATTCTACATAAGTAAATATATTAAAAGTATTTTAAGTACATACAGTCGACGTGTAAGTAACATTAACATCTACAGCGATTTAACATGCAGTGATATTTGTGAGCTTCCACTTCACATCTACTAGCTACCACCATATATCTACATATATGACACGAAAAAAGTTCCAACAAAAGCAATAATATTTTACCTTAGAGAGACAGGATTTGTTTAAACGTGGCCTAAAACGTAAGGATACATTTTGTTGAATGCGAATTAGACTACATGGATTACAACACTGCTTACATAATTAAAAGCCTTATCAAACACACCACATTTATTCAGGCATTTAAATACAAAAACGAGTGGATGAAAAGATAGCCCCTTTCATTTGTGTGATCTAGAAACATTCGCTCCACATCTCACAGCTATCCTGCAGGGACTGCATGTCTTCCAAGTGCCTATCCAAACAGTTCAAAAGGTGACACAGCCTGACTATTCCAGGCCTTGGTCATCCAGTTACAAGCAAACATGGAGAGCATGTAATTCTACATAAAGTCTACGTCCAAGCAAGGTAAGACTAATTTTTCTTATTTAAGAATTTGTTAAATTTAAGCTCTCTAACAGTCAACTCTTTCAGGAAGAGAGAGCTAGGAACTTTAGATAATCAGAAAACTGATGACAGAATCCACGTTTGATGCCCAGATTATGATGAAGGATGGAGACACCCAACACATGCAGCACCCATGAAGTATCCCAGCTAAATTCTCTGCATGAAATGGCCTTTGTAGTTATTTCAACTACTGCAACTATTTGCCTACTAGTATCCTACTTTTTGGTACAATAGGGTTTATCATCAGTGAACAAATAATTCAGATGAAAGCAAGATAGGAAATAACTGTAGACAGAGGAGGAGATCACAGACAAAGCCACAGGGATAAAAAGAATAAGCACAAAAGTAAATAGTTCACACCATACCTGTTAAAACCCAAGGAGTCTCTTGCTTTGCTTTTCTCATCAGTCTTTACTTTGTATCTGTCACTGATTTGACTAATTAGTGATTTTGTTGCATCTGTCATTTCTTTAGATTTTGTTTTCTATAAAAATAGAGTTTAAGACTCAACTTTTAACCCATTCAACATTTCTTCTTAAAAAGAAATTCAGAGTAAACTAATCTTAAACAGGTCACATTGAAAAAGTAAACAGTGAAGCTGAAATTATTTCATCCACTTGGTAATAGTGGAAAGTCAATTAAAAATAAGTTTGTGACTAAATGAAAGTAAAATACAAATTTTGAAACACTGAAAATTTGACAATTTTCTCAATCACAAGACAAAGAAATGAAAGTAAAACTCACCATCTTTGATTGTTTTGGATTTGCAGCCTCTTTTCTAAAGAGAACATCAGGTTCCTCTTTTGTAAAATCAGAATGGAAAGATGTTTCAGACACTCTAGCTGAAAGAAATGGTTCAAATGACATTTCAGTAGCAGTTTAAATAATTTTCCCTCTGAACTTAACGGTTTCTGTTCCAAATGATTAACACTCTGACTGTCCACTACGTATTTTGCAATTTTCTTCCCTCATTGTATCAATTTAATTTTCTTGGGTTTTTTTTTTCCTCTTGTTTAATTTCTTTGTTTATCTGGAGAGGTACTTCAAAAAAAATTGAATAAAAAGCAGTTCCTTCACTAACAATAGAAACTAATACAGGGGGAAAAAAAAAAAAAGAAGAGCTATAGGTTAAAAATTCATCTCAAACATTAAACAGTTAAAGTGTGAACGTACGTGCCAATGATGGATTTAGCTTTTGCTTGTCACCAGTTGTTATATTCTTCTCAGGAACAGAGCATGCTCTTTTTTTCCACGTTCTGGTTTTATCAAAAGAACTCTCCAAAAGACCAGACAGCCTAACAAAGATAAAGTCATCTTATTATCAGTGAACCGCAGAAAGTGAGTCTTAATTATGACAAGCGTGCATCACAAAATAGGAAAATAGTGACATCTTGTAGGTATCAATGTGTTTTACACTGTTACCTACGCCTGCTACCATTGTTGAATTAACCAATTCACTGTAAAATGGCAGGGTCTCAGAAACAACATTTATTTTTAAGTCAACTTCAAAAAGGTAACAACATCCTATGGCCATCATTAAACCTTGAACTTAGATAACTCTGTGGTGTGTCAAATCCACTACATTTTATGGTACAGTTCACTTATATAAACCTGTATGTCATTTGGACTTTATCTTCTGACATAATCTAAAAGAACCACTCTCCTTGTAACTACTGAAGTTTACTTAAACTCCTACTCTGATCTTGTTAATGAGTACTATTGTCACAAACGGATTCACCAATTTAAAGTCTTTGATTAAGACAACAGAACAGGATTGCTCATGAAGTAGTCTTAGCAAATACAGGTAAGAGTGCTGGTTTGGTGCCATGAATTTCAGAATAAAAAAATAAAAGAACATAACACAAGCGACCTGACTTACACAGCACATAGTTCTTTACGCAACTTTCAGGTAAGACAATTAAATTCTGCCATTTTCTGCAACTATGCAACAAAATTCTGGCATTGAAAATGCTCCCTTCAAAGTGAGTGACAACAACAATGACATGGTATTCTTTTCCAATACTTACAAAGGTTTGTTGCTTCTCCCTACTGGCTGAGAATCAGGAACAATATCTAACGCTTCATCTAAATGAGACATTAATTTGGTATCAATTATGATTATGAAAGAAATGGATGAAATTATTTTAATTTTAAAAGGACTATCAATACTGTAAAATTACTTGCCTAAAGTTTGCTTTTGCATGGGCTCAATTTCTGCGTCTTGTAGTGTTTCTAAAACTTCTTCAGCACACATTTGCTACAGTGAGATAATACCAAAAAGAAAATATTAGTGTAGGACTATAAACAGTATAACCTCATAAACTTGCATTTCCCCTAATAATATATGAAATTATTTTTTCATTCATAGAAGTGCTGATTCCAGTAACTTTTCAGGTAGTTTTGCCTCATTTTTGATACTTGACTTCCTGATCTTCTGTTCTGTTTCACAAAATTCATTGTCTAGTGTACATCTTTGCCCACTCTAAAAAGCACAATAAATTAACACTGACAATTACAATCCATAAAAGCAAAAGAAGTTAAATTCTCCTAGAAAGTAACACTAGAAATATTCTAAACTACACATTCTATATGTTAAAGTCTTTTTCTAAAAGCATGGCTAGATCAAAAAATGCTTCAGAATCCCATAGTCCAGGATTTGACCTGAATCTGACCCAGAAAGACACTCAGAAATAAAATAAAAATGTTACTTTGAAGTCTTTGTTCAACTGAAACAGAAGCAAAAATACATATATTCAAACTGCAGTGCAGTGATACCTAGGCAGTTTTGTCTGATTTTAGTGAACGCCTAATCAAAAATGCACTAAAACCAATGGTATAAATACTATAACCTGAAGACCATAACATTTCGCAACTATAGCTGAATTTATTCCATGTTTTTAAGAGAATTTCAAGACTGCATAATTAATGGGAGATTCTGTGCAAACACCGTTCTCATACTATACACAAAGGAAGAATTGTGGTTCTAGTAAAAGCAACTCTGGGGTCAGAACTGGTGAGCGAATGCAAATTTAGCTAATTTTGTAAGAGTTCAGTCTGACTTCAGACATATTAAACCTGAAATCCAGAGGACAAGAAAATCTTATGAAATAAAGTAAAACACATTCTTTTCTAAAAGTCAGTTGCTGACTGCAAAACTCTAGCTCTTTAAAATATGAGTTAGGAACAAATCAGAATAGAAATTAACATTATTCTGAGTAAAACTTAGCTCCAGATGACATGCATACTCCAGTAGGTTCTTGATAGAAATTCTTTGTTCTGCTCTGATTTACTGCATTGTTGTTAGACCTTTCAGCAGAGCTTGTCATTTCCAAAGGTAATTTAAATCGTCCTTTACAAGGAGTGGCTGAAAACAAACCAGAGGCATGTTAGAATTCTACCCTTTCTTCTGTTACGATTGCTGTGCTCTCTGTGACATCAACATAAAGATTTTTTTCCCGTGATCACATCTATTCCATTAACTTCAAAAACAGTTGGCTAGTATTTTTATCAACTCATTATGTACCTTACATAATTCTATTAATTTCAATTAAGTTACATGGAGGTTAATAAGCCCATAGACTGTGGATGTCTGGAGGCAAGCAATAGTCTGGCTCTGGTAGAAAATAGTTGGTCACCTATTTGAAGATTTTACTGTAATATATTTTTGCTAGAAGAGACTGTGTGGTTAAGTCCCAAATAAAAAAGTTACAGAAGTTGTCTGTCTTGTTCCATCCTAATCTGAAAATGCTTTCTTTTCCAGCCTCTGTTACTCTTAATTTATATGTGATACATAGGAATACAGACTAAGGATACTGATGCTCTTGAGACAGTTAAAACAAGAAAATTTAGTTTGTTAGTCATGTTGTTCTGCCACGAGTTGCATCTCCAGCCTCTACTGGTCTTTGTCTGACGAATCTCTCCCTTGTAGAAAGTATTAAATATCTGTTACAGTAAGACACAATTTCCTACAGTAAGTAGGAAATTGATCACTCCTCCTTATGGTAAAGTCTCTTCCCTATCCTTTTCTCTGTAAGAAGCACTTTCGACGCAAGCATGAGCAGCAGTGGATCCCACCTTCCTCACTTCCAGATAACCAACTGCCCCTTGAAGAAACAAACACAGTTTCTAAATAAGAGTATAATGGAAGTGACAGATGTACACATTGGAGAAAGCTGATTTTTCACCACAACTGCTATAAAAGAACTGACTGCTGAGAATTCTTGAAACCAAGAGTATATGAGGAGAGAGATGAGAAAACATCAATGTTTTAGGTCTTCTGATTGATCGCTGCCTTCTCAGCAGCAGTAACAACGACAGGTGGCTTTCAGCTGTTTTGAATTCCTGCACCATGTCTATGGACCAAGAGCAAGCAGCCTAGTTGAAAAATGTCAACTTTAAAGCACATGGTAGGGAGATTTTAAGGTCTACTTTTCATTTCCAGCTCTGCAAAGGATAGCAATTCATGCTTATATTTCAAAGACAATTTATAGCATATTTTTACCCTGAAAGTTCTTGTAAACTTACATGTGCTAACAAATAGCAGTGGACTCCTTGTGGAAAATCTTGTCGTTCCAGGAATAAGCACGGATGCTTCAGACACTTTCCTTTTACAAGAGGTAGTTATCTTGAGGAACAGAAAAAACTTGACCATAACATACAGATTCAAGGATGAACACACACGCTTTTAGAAAACCTATTACAAGGGTCTTTTGGCACTTTCCATTATTGGAATAGCAGTTGCTGCACACATCAATGTAATGTGATTTTCATGCAGTTCCCTTTTCAGAGAAAGTTCACCAAAATACTTGAATTGTATAAATACTTAAAACTAATGTTTTTAAACTGAGATCTGTGATTGTTGTTTTCTAAATTAATTCAAATGAAGTACGGACAAATCCTGTCCCTTGTTAACAACCAGAGTAACCGGTACGATTCCTAGGGATTTCTGCAAAGCCATCACATAAGCTACAAACCAGCAGAATCTCAGGACAGGTTACCAGACTACTGCCAGAAAGACACATTGCATGATAAAGACACGGTGACACTGCTTCATCTTTTCTCCCATCCTTAGCCTATCTGTAGTTAGTCCTAGCATAAGCATAAGACATTTATAACTTCAGAGTGATTGTGGGGCAAAAGCAACACCGGGCTTCATGAATTGGGCTCCTTTCAGTTTAAACCAGAGTCAGCTATGCATAGGAGCAGTCCCATGAACCTGTGATTTGAATAACCAGGATACAGAATTCATCCTGACAACCACATTGTTTTTGTCATCATCAGTCCCTGTGAATGTCAAGCCTCTAGGACTTGTCCCTAATTACAGCTACTACTATTGCTGATCACTAGCAAGGCTCCAGAGGCTACACCAGACCTTTGCACATCGTAAGGGATCTAAGCATGTCCTAAACACGTTTATCTTTAAAGAGAATTCTCAGAGCATAATGGTCTGAAGAACGTTAACAATTGCTTTGTAATTTTGTCACATTGTTATAGTTTCAAAACACATAACGAATTAAATGGACTTACATAGCTTAATGTGAAGTCACAAGAAAAACAATCAAATCCTGTATTAATTATATTCTGACTCTATAATAATAGTGTTTTTCTATTATTAAACATTTCTCATATTTTAATTTACTTGTATTTTTGATGTACTCCTCTCTGTTTCGATAATCCTACTTACCGTGGAGGAATCGCTTCTGCCTTTTTCTTGATCGTTATTTTTATTCAGAGTCCTCAAAGATCCAGGAAGTTGCTGGGTTTTGTACTTACTGAGTTTCCCCTCTTCTTCACATTTTTCTTCCAAACATGGTGACACCTGACTTTCTGGTACCGTAACCTATACAGTATTTTGGATTTCTAAAATTTTTATACAATATTTGGATTTTATTATGTTTAATATTTATACAGACACACACAGAGCTACTTCTTTACTCAAAGTAATACATTCCTCACTGTAGATTTTGATACACTTCATGACTTATATACTTCTAGTTTGAAAAGCATCCAATGTAACTGTTATTTTTGCTAACACGAATGGGTTACCAAATCACAATTCAAATGAAAGAACTTCCCTTGTGTATATTCTATGAATTGGATATTAATATTATTATCTCCCCAAATATACAATACATATTTAATAGAAATCACTTAACTGGTTTTAAAGTTATCTTTACTTACCGGCATTTTAGAAGTCCTCAGTTTTATGGTGAACAATCATAAATTAGCTAATAATCAGATTAAATATGAAACCCAAGAAAACAACCATCTCAGTATACTGAAGCAAAATACCTGTGATCCGCTTTCATCAAAGATGACGTGTACAGCTGTTTTGGCAACTGATGCGGACTGCTTCTTACTAAAGCCCTACAAAGTGAGTAGCCATCTATGTCAAATATACACTTTCCTCAATTTTTTTTAAACAAGAAACAAAAAAAATATTTAAGGCAGACATCAGAAGTGTCTGAAATCAGATTACAGGGGAAAATAAGATTCTAGAAGCTCACAACTTCTCACAACTTTCTCAGTCAGAGCTCAGGGCCAAGTAGTTTGTTACAACCAGTAAGGAAAAAGCTATGGCTTGCTAAAAACTTTTTACTAAATTAGTAAATTCGTGAGAGAGGCAAGCATAAATAGATACCAAAAATCACAGCTATGACAATGTTTATACGGCATTCAAAAAGGTGTGTAAATCTTACCTTACATTTACTAAATCCATAAATCTTTCTGGTTACATCTTTGATTTCCAAGATAGAATCGAAATATAAAAAAATTTTCTCTCCTTCTTGATTACCCACATTCATTGGACTTTTTAGATCTATTGTTAATAATTTCTTTGAATCTTTTTCTGAACAAAACAAAATTTGGAAAGTAGTTTCATTAAAATTTAACAATACAGTGTTTGTAAATACATGAAACTTACTTGTGTTCTTCAGTTCAGCAATTAAGATGTATATTAACTCACTCTAAGCTACAGTAAATTTTATTAGTGAAATAATTCAACAATCAATCTTTTAGAAATACTTATTCTGTATATTATCCTGTAGAATTTTCTTTGAAGGTCATTTACTATAGCTGCAGACAAATTATAGATATTTACAAAACAATTCTAATCAGTTTAAAAGAAACATTATTATGGCTTGCTAATAAATTTTTTACTAAATTAGTAAATAAGACATTGTCTTATGCCTTATTTTGCATTGAAATAACTATAAGACATTACTTTAAAATTATTTTAATAAAATCACAGCTGCATGCCTAAAATGCAAATGTGACTGCAGTGCAATTTTACCTCTGATAACAACAGTACCTACAATGTTTTAAGTGAGAATTTTGCTTTGCTGACAATTAAGTCAGTATTTTAGGATTAACCAATTTGAAAACCCAAGTTAGTGTGTAACAAAAGATCACATTTTTGAGTGCCAATACCTTCAAGGCTGTACAGGTCTACCTCTTCTTCTGGTATAATGACTGTTTCCCACTGATGATCCTTATATGAAAAACACATATTTTTAAAGCTAGAAAAGCATTATATTACAATTAAGTGAAGTGCAGGGATCAGAAAGTTTTTTCAGTGAGGACAAATTTTCAACTTTTTAAATCCTTTGTTACAAGGAGCGTAACATTGACAACAGTAAACAATATTTCAGAAGAGCTACAGTAGAGACATTAATCTAAACAGTTGAGTCTCACCTACAAAAATTCTAATTGCAATTTTGTAAATGTCCTCTTGTTCATGTGTGCATATGTTAAACTGTTTGCAAACTATTAGAAAGTCATTACTTTGACATTGTTTGATTTAAACATGTACATCGAATCTAGATTTTTTTTTCTCCCCTTCACACTATAGATGCACACATAACTTCCACATGTTGATGTGAGGAAATAAATTCGATACACTTAAAAGAATGTGTATCTATTGCCTCCGAAAGATCTAGTATGACAGGGAAAAATTAGCTTACTGCATCATCTGCTGCCACATAGAAAGATATGCTTCTGCTGCCAACGTTGAAATCAATCCAAAATTCTTCAAGGTTTTCATCCAATGGTATCTGTAGCTAAAACAAAAAAATTAAGATAACAGAGTATAAGCTGAGAGCAATGATTTATACTCGCTAAGAGGCTTTGTGTTATGGTCTGACAAACTTTACCTATATGTACATCTGTATAGTCCTGAAAAAAAAATTACTTACTTGATCCTTATTTTTTCTTAACTAGAAGGCAAAAAAATTCTTCAGCTGCACAGATGAAAATCTGTGGATATATGATTAAGCCTGTAACTTACCTCGTATTTATCAAGAGCTGCTGATAGACACGGATACGTGAAAACTCTGTAAGAAAAGGATATTTCGTCAAGTATCCTAAAATGCAGTAAATAAATATTGCATATCAGAACACGGCAACTGTGCTGTGTTTTCAGCACAAAACCTGTGTGCTTTAGAGACTAAGCAGCCACAGCAACCAGAAGAGCAGCCACTTGACTGCATCTCTTCCCCGAAGGAGACAGCATGAAATTTAATATATCCTTACAATTAAAGCAGTGGTCTCAGACCTCGTCACTACTTTCATACTTCTATCTTATCTGCTGATATTTGAAGAACAGTATCCAAACTGAACAGACACCTGATATAAACATACCAGACAATCTCTCTCCTGCCATGACATATCAAAGTAACATGCAGAGCACGTGATCGTATAGATAAGGAATAAGCTCATATTTTCTCTTCCTTTTCAGGTCCTATTTCTCTAGCAGATATTCTCATTGATCATTATCTCAAGGTAAATATCCTAAATCAATAAATAAAGGAATATATACTAAGAGATTACTAGCTATTGTTATATGACATGTTTATTGCAAAATCCCGAGATGGTCATTATTTCAACAGAACTAAATAGAATACAAAAAAACCCTAGCTCCTTACAAACATTTATTAAAGGAAGTGTAACACACGCTTTATATTGTTTAAGAATCTTTTCAAATGAATGTTCTTTACTTAGTGAACAGTTTCTTCAAGCTGTTATCTAATAATCTGAAACTTACCTTATGTTTGCCTTTTTCCAAATATTGGAATTACATAAAATTAGCATCTTGATAGAGAAGATAATATCAGTGACAATGTGCCAAAAGATGGTATTTCTTTACTATTTAATTTATTTTCTATTTAATATTTTAAAATATATTAATTCTGTGTGGTTCCTTGACTTTATACCACAGCAACATTAGTCTTATTTGCTTGTATTATTTTAATTCAGTTTTCCAAAGACAGTTTATGTGATACAAAGATTATTCCTCATGAATGGCTATAAAATCCAGAAAGCGAAAATATATTAGCTTTAAAAATTCATTTTTACCTTCTTTTGTCTCCAAGCATGCCGTTCACTTGGTTAAGAAATCTTCTGCAATCCTATTAAAACAGAAATATCTTGAGGAATTGTAGAACAAAAGTTTACCTCCCTGGAAATACTTTTAATGTGACTTACTGTTTCAAACTCAGAATCTTTAATTCCTTTAAATGCATTGGACACAAACTCCATGGAAAACCACTGGCACGCCAGTTCTCCTCTTTGTTTCTCTGATATCATTCTGCATAAAGCTTCTGTAATGGCTACTTGCAGGTCATAGTCTACAGCACAACACATTGCACAGGAATAGTAGTTTTAAAGATACTAGTGATGTGAAAAAATATCATTATGTAGGAAATCGGTACAAGAAGTGCTGAACATTTCATGTTATCTATCACATTGTATACAAATACGTAACCCATAACGGACATATAGATAAAGAACTAAGGGAATAAGGATGACTAAGCAACCTCTGTTTCAAAATGAAATTTCAACCAAACTTTCAAGGAATGTCAGAGCAACACCAGGAATATAAGCAAGAGATAAGAAGTTTTCAACTTTCACCTGGCTGAACTGGGAAACTGTTGGACACCAAAGTGACCCCTGAGAGACACTATAGTACTACTAAACATGGCTATCAGTTCACTGTCCTCAAAGACTGACTTCCTCATCAGCTTTTACTATTTTAAACTTATATTCTAGAGAAGAAAAGGACTGAAAACTTCAAAGAGTTAGCCATACACTGCATACATCTGAAATGGTCTAGTTTGCAGGTTGTTTTTATGCAGTATTTGTATTTTTCAAAGGACTCTAATTGCAACATTCTGCAGCTTCTAAATGTCTTCTCTGGATTTTTAATGGGTCTGCATGTAATTTTTAAGAAGCTCAAGACTAAATTGTTTATGAAGTCCCACGCTCACCTCCAGCATCCAAAATTCTCCTCCCCATGTCACTCCTGCCAAACAAAATAATGTATAAAAATAGGACAGCAACATAAAGGACAGAAGAAAAGTTTATTTAATTACAAGCTTTCAATGTATGAGACAAAACCTTGATTCCACTAAACTATTAGACTTCAAAGGGGCCAGTCTGTTATGCTAAGGATATGCATTGGAAAGTACTACTGGAGAAGTGAATCACATGACATATCGTTTTAATTCTATTTATTTTTTGAAATGCTGCAAAAAAATTCTGAACGTGAATAGCTTGTTCTTCCAGTGACTGATTCACTGTGCCTTACATGCATTCTTATAAATAAGAGTTTAATTATTTTAAGATAACTGGGATGAGAAGAAGCCTACCCCAGATTGGGAAAGAGGTAAATTCAGGTTTGTAATGGAGACTAATTAATGAGAACACCTGCCCACAGCCACTACCACTGACAACACAATAGCAATTGAACAGTGAGTTAAACAGGGACCAAGCTGCACGCGTTATAAACAGCCTTAGTAAAAACTGCCTTCCCAGGTGTGCAAATGATGTAATGATATGAAAATTAAATTAAGATTATTTACATGACATGCAACATTTCCTTTGTAGAAAATATCTTCCTCCTGGCATCTCGAGGCGTGTTGTCAAGCATCAAATTAAGTTTTCTAACTACCTAAGAAGAGCGGGGAAAAAAAGGAGTAAGATTAAATATAAAATAAGTTGTTAAAGTTTAAGTTATTCTCATTTTGGGCCCTTGTAATATATTTCATACTACTGAAGAAAATAACATGCTTAAATAATTGGAAAACAAGAAAGGACAATGTGTTCTATCTGACCTTAAATGGTATTTATCTTAATATAACTACCTCTATTTCAATAAATCACATTACCTTTAATGCGAACATCAGTTGCTGAAGTTTCTTATTTGCAGGTTTAAATATAAGAAAAAACTTTGAAAGCTAGAGTTCTGTCTGCAGTTGATTGCTGAGCTAAAGCCTACCTTAAATTTGCATTAAAAAGCCCTTCCTGTGGGGATGTAGCCTTTACAGACTTTTTTGTAACTTTGTTTAGAGAGGAAAAAACACCTGAAAACCTGAGGTTACAAAAATAAACAGCAGAAATTTGCTGTATACTAGAAGGTATAGAAATTTCCTTCAAGTATCTAAAGAATTTCCAACCAACAATCTTAATATGCTCTATTACGGCTGCTATAAATAGGATTATTTTCTACATTTTTATACAGCTTTCTCACCAGAATCTTAATAATGCTGTTTTGTAATTTACCATCCAAAATTAAAATTACACGTCAATAATCTGAACCTCTCCCTCAACACACAAATGACAACAAATGTTCTCAGAGAAACATTAAATCATCCTTCTGATACCAGAGCACTACAATATTCTCTTTTTTTGTAGCATGTATGCAGTTAAATTACTATTTTCACAAAATCTGTTAATACACTAACCAGAAAACTGTTGCTTAGAAAGAAAAATGCTTACCTCATGCTGAACATAAATACTAATTCTTACATCAGTGATGAGGGTACACGTTCTCAGAACAAAGTTTTCTAGTATTTGCATTTTACCTAATGAACAGGAAAAAAGTAATATGAAGAGTTATCAAGAGTGTATTAGGGTGCCCCCTCATCAGCATTTGGAAAAAAGATTCATTTTCATTTAAAATGAAATACAGTAGGCCTTCCTTTCCATGTAGGATTACTCCTGTTTGAAAATAAACATCTTAAGCTTCATGGTTAAACGCAAGAAAAAACTGCTACTTCAACCTACAGTAAATATGGCTTTTTATGATGTTTCTATTCCTGTGCATCACTGCATAAGTCCCCTGGGCACGAGATAATTATTTTTAAAATATAATCAGATCAATTCAGTAACTTAGCCCTCTGAGACATAATTCAGACTCTAGAATTTATCTTCCCAGGGACAAGGAAACGAATCTTTCATTTTGATCGTGACAGCACAACAGTCTGTAGAGACTTTCTACCTAGTGCTATTCTGAAGGGTAAGAGCAGCGAGGTGTTCATGACCACAAGGTCAATAAAGAAGGACCACTGTGCTATGCTGAGCTATGACAGTAGCTCAGAAAATGTTCTTTTTAGGAAAAACTCAGTTCAGTTGCCATCTCTGAGGAGACCAGACTATTCTGGTTTGCTATTACTGACATCGCCAAGTTACAAGGGCATTTTTCAGTAGAGAAACCTCAAATTAAACAGTTACAGTTGACATTTAAGCGTTTTTTCACATGAACAAGAAATATAGTCCTTCGTGGGCAGAACTGCCCTCTTGGGGATAAGCTCTTTTCTGTTACAGTTTGTTAGCTGAAGCATATAGATCTGGTGGTAAACTTACATCAGAACAAGAAACTTTGTACCACCCTCATCATACGTGTTCTCAGAACTACCTTACCTCAAGATGGCTCCACAAGTAGGAAGAGATATTTTAACACTGATAACCTTAAAATGTTCTTTTCAGAACACTTCCAACTATGATGCCTAAGGTACACTTTTTTAAGCTCACCTTCAGGTCTGCTGTCACATATCGCCTACAATAAAAGACAAAACAAAACATCATTTTGATACAGTAAATATTACAGCAGAAAAATCAGGTAACGTACCTAAAGCAAGTAATCAAAAAGCATTCAAGATACTAAAATTACTTCACCTTTCATGAAGAGCATGAGAGACTTCTTCTAATACCAACTGTGGTTTCCCTAAACTATATTAGTTAAATTTATGGAAATTATTTCCCCCAAAAATTTTATTAACAGAAGAATACTCACAGATATTATAAACCTAGGGTCCTGGGATTAGCATACCAATAATTCATGTTATCAAAATAAGACCAAGATGAAATTTTTTTGTTCATTGAACACTTACATTCTGCGGGTTTTTTTTAATTTTATTTTGTGATGCTAATCATGAACAGAAAACGAGTGTGAATACAGGCAAACTATTCATCCAAAAATAATCTGTTTCAGAAACTATTGTAACATTAACTGTAGAAGAATATTAAATAGAAACACGTTTGAAAGTCTTTTTTTTGCTAAACTAGTAGTAATTATTTTGGCAAATACACACAATGTATTTTATGATCGATGTATTTTTACCAGCAACACGTTGAAGAAATCTTCAGCCAGACTTATAAGCATTTCATTCTTTCCATTTCCTCCGCGGATCAAAATTCCTTTTACCTTTTCAAACCAATTAACCATGTAAAGGGAAAATAAAAGCAAATCTATTTTAATAGCATGAAAAAGGACAATAGTTTGTATTATACTTAAGTAAAATTATACAAACTATACAGAGATTAAAACAACAGCGACACTGTTACCAGTACTTTAGCACCAGACTGAAATTTTTCACTCACACTAAACAAAGACAGGTGATTTCAAAATAATATAATTTCTGTAGCTGACTCTCACACAAAAACTAGAGATCTACTTTTACAACTGCCATCACGCACAAAAGAGCTGAAAACAGCTAACAGCTGAAGGAAAAGTGTGTTTGTAGGTGTGAACATAAAGTTATTACCACACCTTTTTTTTTTTGAATTAACGCAGTTGAGTAACACTTATCTGACATTGCCATTAACTTTCTTCAGTGAAATCTCCAGTGAAAGAAATAAGGAAGTGGTGTCTGTTTTTCAGTATACTTATTATGTTGAGTTACAAACGATTAATGCATTTAACATGCAGGTTGAAACAACACAAAATAATCAGAACAGCACTATAATCTGTTGAAAGAACATGTACAATATCGCTGTTGCAAGTATTAACAAAAAAAAATATTAAATTGCACCAGGAAATTCCAATTCTTGACTCAAAAGTAGTACAGCAAGCTCATGTAAAAAGATATCATCCTGTTGAAATTAATTATATTTACTAATAAACTGAATAATAAATAATAAACAATTATGTATTGCATAATTTGCAAAGTCTTCACTGTGGTAGAGCAGCATCACTTTATCAGAGGCCATTTTCAAAGAACATTTAAATTTGAATCATGTTTGTTACGGGCAATTCTTTATTCAGAAACAATGAATGACCAAATTGAATGCTAAGCTGTTCAGCACTGAATCATTGCTTAGGCATGCCTTATTAATTTTATATATGTATTTTCAGAAGTTCATGTATGCTTTATGGTTTTACTTATCCTTCCAATAAGACCGTGTTTTATCATTGCTGGGAGCCCATCTTCTCCTGCTATGCTGACTTTTTCCCCACATTTCTGAATAGAATTTAGCAAAGTGGAAATGCTTTTGACTTCTTGTTTGTCAAGTTCCTGAAATTGAAATGATAACGTAAGCTTTAGTGTACAGTTCTAGAAGAATCTGCACTTCATCAACCAGATGTCTTTTTGTTCTCAAAAGCCACCTTCATTGCGGCTTGAAGTAGAGATTTCATTCTTAAATTTTATTTCAGTTTTTCAAATCAAATACTGGTATAAACTGAGTCAAATGAAAAAACTTTTTTCTGACTGTTACAATGGCAGTATAAATTATTCTGATGTAATGATTACAGTACCCGACACAGAAGTTTGTCTAATTTGTTGACAAACTGGTTGCTGCATTTGTGAGAGACGTTTTCACAGTCTTCTGTTGCCAGAAATTCTTCTAATAATTGGAAATTTTTTTTTCTTGTAGCTTCATCAATTAACTTTTCAAACTGTCAACAATAAAAGAAAATAGAGCAACTGTATTACTGTATGCTTAACACAGATACTGACTAACAGTTTCTAACATAGGTTTTAGGCAATCATCTGTTGCATTCTAAGCAAGTATTCCGAATTCCAAAACCATTAAATGTAAAACCTAAAGCACAGAACACCATATCTAATGAGTTAATATGCAAGCACTTACTCACTGAGTTTTTAATTATTTGGCAGTTTTCCTTAATTGAATGGGTTTTCTATGCTCATATTACAAATAAATGCTTGCATAAGTGCTCATTGTGTTGATACACACTCCTTAGTATATTTAATGTTTTACATTTCTAAGTTATCTGTTAATGACTTTAAAAAGATACTAATATATTTGAGGACTACTGCCTTCATCAACCGCTTCACCACCGTATTCTTTCTAAATCAATTAGAGCCAGATTTCAACATTTTGATCTTAAGTATCATCCCAACTGATTCATGTATGTCAAATACTTATGATTTATTCTCATCAATAACAACTTCCAGTTCCTCTTGCTTTCTACCTAGCTAGTTAGCACTAACCTATGTCAAAGGAAAGTTTCTTCCTATTTGTTGCTACAAATGCAACTTCTATTTGTAATTAAATACCAGAAACAGTGCTTTAAGCTAGTAATTAAAAAAAATGAATACTCATATTCTGATCCATAAGTACCTACCTGCATCTCACTCCTGGCTGCCATTTTTGCAATTCCTCTACTCAGCTGCATAAGAAAGGAACAATCATCACTTGACCAAAACACAATTCACCAGCACAGACTTCAAACAGGTTTTGCAAACACAACAGTAATCAGTCAAAATACATTACGAATTCCAAAAATCATCACTAGTATAAATGCTATTTACAAAATTAAACTAACGGGGGCTATAAGGGAACATCCTTACATGGATAAACAATTGCTTAAAATAACTTTGGCAATGGCGAAACAGAGGGTGCTGCATGGACTCTCGATTTTTCTCAGCACGAAAAAAAGCATAAAGATGGCCAATTGTACTGTCAACACCACGTTATTCAGAAAAGTCAATGGCAGAACTCCAGAAGGGCCTCATTATAAAATGGTAGGTAAAGTAATTTAAGAAAAATGTGATAAATAGATGCAGGGAAAAAGCCTTCCTAATGATGCATACAGTGACAGGCTCTGAGATGCATTACCACCAAAATGCAAGATTTCAAAATTAGAGCTTTCTGAAAACATCATCTTACTATGCAAGAGCAGACAAAAGCATTTCCTTTGTTTTGAGAGTTAGCATGTAAAAAAACAACAAACTTATTCATACTTTGTATAAATCAATCTAATCAGCCAATCTACCAGATACAGTTCTGGTCTCGCCATCCCAGAAACCACACAGAATCAGGCAAAGCAAAGGGAAACAATGATTAAAAATACAAAGTTACTCCTGTAGAACAAACCGGGGACACACGCTAGTCGTTCCTGTACGCCTCAGTGATACAGAAATAACAAACACGGGGTGGTTTTATTATTTTTTTTTCCCAATACAGGAATGCAACAGCCTACGTGGGAGCCTTTGGAATCACCTCACGGGTCCCTTGTCTCCTGCCTAGTCGGAGAAGCCAAGGAAGAGCAGACAAATCCCTCCCAGGAGCCTCCTTCTCGACGAGGGAGCCGACACCGCCGCCCTCAACACCCCCGTACTGGCCGGCACCCCCCCTAAGCG